AGGTTGCCCAAGGCCACATCCAGCCTGGCCTTGAACACCTCCAGGGATGGGGCCTCAACAACCTCTCTGGGCAACCTCTTCCAGTGCCTTACCACCCTCAAAGTGAAAAACTTCTTCCTAATGTTTAATCTAAACCTGCCCTCTTCCAGTTTATAGCCATTCCCCCTCGTCCTGTCACTACATGCCCTTGTAAAAAGTCCTTCCCAGCTCTCCTGTAGGCCCCCTTTAGGTACTGGAAGGCCACAATAAGATCTCCCCGGAGCCTTCTCTTCTCCAGGCTGAACAGCCCCAGCTCTCTCAGCCTCTCCTCATAGGAGAAGTGCTCCAGCCCTTGGATCATCCTAATGGCTCTCCTCTGGACACGCTCCAGCAGATCCATGTCTTTCTCTGTATTACTGTCCCATGGGGAAACAAGGTACTCCCAAAATACAAGGCAGCTCCAACATCAGCTACAGCTATTGATGGAGCACACACAACCACGAGTACTGGAATATCTGAATAATGACACCAGGGAACAGAGCAAGTATCACATCTTACAGATAATCTAAAGCATCCATGATGCTTTAAATAACCATGGAAGCCTGGACTCGAGTTACTGCTCCAGTGATTTATAAAAACATCCATAAAAGCACAATGGGAGGCACTATAAGCAATGCTTGTCATTTACCCATTTGACAGTCATCTGGGAAGTTTCATTTCATGGCAAGATCTATATTTGTAATTTAACCTCAGGCAAAATATTTCCAAGAAAAGAAAGTGTTGACCACTTCATGGGTGTTACAAGGCAGAACAATTGAGATGCTCCTTTGACAACAAATGGGATTATGGGGAAAAGCTTTTGTGAGCTGACACATTTGATACGCTTAAACAAATGAAAAAAGGTTAAGAACTACAACAAATGAAGGAAAACTAAAGGCTATGGTTTTTTTGGTTGCTTCCCAGATGTCCCTAAATATTGAGGTGCAATTTTGTGCTGGGCTGAATCTTTTCTGACTGCAGGCTACTGCTAGATGATGTGATCCCATTCTCACCCTTTACTTACATCTGATCTAGCAATCACACAGGCAGAAGCTGAGTTTGAAATTACTGTTAGGGAGGATAAGCTAGAAAAGAAAAAAAAAATTAATTAGTCTTTCAGTGACTCAGCAAATGGAAGGAAACAGTCATAAAACTGCAGGACCTCTAAATTCTGTGCATAAGAAGTGGTAAAACAGCCTCCAGTGGAAGAAGACCCCAGTCAAACTGGCTTAAGCCTGTAAGAACTGACAGAACTGCAGTCCGAATCAACTCTCCTTGTTTTCAGGGGATGACGGTCCCTTACAGAACTACTGCACTTGCTACTTATTTATCTACTGTTTATCCAAACTGCACTTTCTGACAGGATGGTGCTGTGATCAGATTCATCCCACAACAAACCAACCTGCAACTTTTAAGTTCGTTTGTATTATTCCCGCTCTGATATGTCAATATTACTTTAGCACGCAGCAGGGTGAGCCTTTCTTCTGCAGCAATACTGGTTTAAGTGGAGCCTCGACCTTCTCCATCCCCATGGCTACATCCTTGATTGTTCCAGTGTTTGAACACATGCAGTTTATCAAACAGCCACAAAGCCACCTGTGTGAGAGAACTGATCTGAGTAGGGGGAAAAAAGCCAACAAAAGAAAATACAAACCTTTCCACCTTCAGCCCACCAGCTTATTTTGAATACAGATCAGTTTCCAATACTACTTAAGCTTTCACTTCTGCTAACTTTTCCCCTCCCCTACTGCCAATACTCAAACTACTGCTTAGGCCTTACTGAAACCTAAAAGGTTTTCAAAGGTAAAGCACGACCAACTACAAGTTTTTGTTTTACTGCTCTGATTTTATCCACCTCAGAGCAATGGTCCTGCTACATAGATCATAAATACAAACAGCAGTATTAGGGTAATACTGTAGGCAATAAAACCAAAATTAACTAGTAAAACTTCGCTTCTACATTCCAAAAAGCCCCATGCCACCATCATGTCACGATAGCTTGAGTAAACCAGAAGATTTTAAGATTTCAATTATTTTCTTGAAGATAATTCGCATCTCAGAATATTAATTTAATCCCTTTTGTATTAGTTAATGAAATAGCTATTAAGTATAGCAGAAAATGTTGTTTAACAGGGAAGAAAAATGATGCAAATGGCTTACGGTGAGAATCCCAGAACCGCTGGGTACAACTCTACAGGTCCCTAATGAAGGACAGTGGAGTACAGAACTGTTCAAGACGTTTATAAGCCCTTTTGGGAATTTCATTAGTTGAAGGGGTGGGGTGGGGCAGGAATACAGCAAGGTCTAGTACAGTAGTGCTGCTTGTTCCAGTTGATTAAACAGAGTCTTTCAGTATCTGGATTGCTTCAAGTAGCCATGATGTGCTGTGGAGGGAGAATGCAGGCTGTGAAATGCCTCCCGCTTAGTGCTGGTAAATCTGTGTGGCTGAAAGATTCTTGCTTTGCAGCAGAGTACTTTGAACCTTTTTACGACCATGAAGTTCCACGACTAGCATCCAGCCCATTAAATTCCATGACTAGCCTATCCAGCCCAGTTTTAGTCTGTGAAGATGCTGGAAGCAGGTCTGGCCTTCACTCTCTGAAGGAGTTGGGTAGAACAAGTAAGTGCTTTTATAGCAGCAGATAATTAGTTTTGCAAGCAGCCACCAACCATCCAAGACATTTATTTACTATTCAAAAGTGTTGCTCAAGCTCAAAAACTGACACATAATAATAATACATACATATTTTTCAACAGAAGCTAGCACAGAAAAATGATAGAGTGCTCAGGCCAGAGCTAGTAGAAAATCAGCTTCGCCGGTTAATGTAATGCATACTTGTCCTGGAGAGTGACTGAAATAGTAGGAAAAAGGCTCCTTTACTTGCTAGGTTTTAGCCAGGGTAAGTCCATCTAAGCAAGTGAAGAAATACTTCTGGGTATCTCCAGATGTTGCATATTCTGAGGGCTTAAAAAAAAAAAGTGGAGCTGTGTTCAGAAAGTTCAGAAAAGCAGACACTTCTCATCTCCTGGGACAGTTTCCCTTCTTGTGTATTGCACGCCTGACCTCATATAAATGACAGGATTTTAGCCATCTATAGGAAGACCATATACAGCTGGTAAGAGCAGTCCTGGAGTCACCCAGAGGAATAGCTTACACTGGAAACAGCAAACTGGCTCCAAACAAGGAGATGTAGTTGGGAATTCTTGTGGAGAAAAGTAAAGTCTCTGGTGGAAAAAGAAATTCCCAATTACTATTACTACCAGATACCAAAAAAGTACACAACAGCTTTGAGAACTTAAGCTTGGTCAGCTATTAGAGGGACAGATGTGCACATTTAGAAGCGACACCACCACTTACAAAACACACACAGCAGCAGCACAGAAGAGTAAGCAATTACCTACACGCCTGCCAGCAAATCTTTCCAGCAGTTGAAGATACATATAAGCTGTACCAATTGCGTAATATATTTTCAAATAACTCATATTTGAGCCAGTCACCTTGTAGGGCTACAGAGACTAGACTGTCAAAAGGAAAACAAATGTATAGCACCTAATATGATGGCGATGTAAGAAAGCTATAATAAAAAAGCAGCAGCATAAGAAACACCCGTCCACCAGAGAGGTAACAGATAAGTCTGATGCAGGGATATGTCTGATATGTCTTAGTATTGCAGAAGTGACTAATAGCATAGAAATGCTTTAAACAGTAAAGCAGGAGTTACTCTTCACATACAAAAAGACTTGGTTCTGTGAAGATACCAAATGCTGTTGGAGTACTACTTTTCAAACTCAGCCCTGAAAAGATGTACAGTGTCACCAGAACAGCCAGAGATACCCACTTTTTGTGGCTATATACTGGACCTTCCCTTCATTACAACCTAACTACACTTCTCTCCAGCCTACTGCAAACACAAGCATACACAACATGAGAATCCAGTGAAAAACTGAAGTACTACCTCACACATGACCCCAGTCCTCTTTGAAGCATATGTCTATTTAAAAAGCCTCAGTATATTTTGCCAATAATTTCAATTAAAAAAAATCAAACACAAGTTGTTCGTGCAAACAAGTTTATCCACATCAAACTTCTTCATTAAAAAGCTTTTCTTCTGAATGGCTCTTTCCTCCCACCAGTATTTTCTTTTGCTTTTTGAGCTTTTTATGATTCAGTGACAAGATCCATGAATGTGAAACAGTCTCAACACGGTATTCAGCTTTCTTTCAGATGTTTGGCTTGAAAAATCCAGTATGTCCTCTGCAAATATATCCAGAAGAGTTCATGAACTTATCTCAATTGTATTTTGAATCAACAGAAGACACAAACATTGAAAACCATTTTTTATCATCTTGACAAGAAAAAAAAAAAAAAAGGGGGTCTCATTCTGCATTGTTGTGATAGTTATTTGACTCCATACATGTTCCTTGTACCTCTTACATAAGTAATCTGTACTGACCCCAAGTAACAGATACATTAAGTGTGGACATTCCTGATTCAATGTAATCAAGTTGTCACAAAACCTTCTTTCTATTCAAATTGATCAAGTTCTTTTTAAAACTATCATTCCACTGTTCAAAGATTACTCATACTTATTGTAGACTAATTTCATCTCACGTATTGTTTATAAGGTGGCTTTGCATTCCAAATAACTTTGTCTTTGTCAAAATGACTCTGAAATTGGTCATGTCACTCAGTTTTCTCCAATTCCTTAGTTTTATGGCCTAAATTTACTCAGAAGAAAGCATTCACTGGTGCTTTTATTGCCACAAAGCAAAATATACCTACAGATAAAACAGTAAAAACTTTTTTTTTTAAGTTAGGAGGATTCAAACACACCATCAATTACACCAAAGAACAGTTATTTAGTCACAGCAACAAGAGCCATTTTGGTAGCTGAAGAGCAAGCAGCTGCATGAGTTTCTAAATGCATTAAAGCATCTTCATAGCTCCTCCAAACTAAATTACTTAAACAAGTTTCTAAAATTTAATCATACCTGTTCTCTTTGTTGCAGTAATCCATAAAACCACTTTCATATCTTGTAGTATTTCCTGCCTTGGTCTCCATTTCCTTGGCTTTAGAAGACTCTACTTTATGATTGTACTTGGACAGAATCTACAGGAAACATTAAAAGGGAATAAAAAGAATTATCTAAGAACTCAAAACAAGATTACAGCTTATACATTTTTAATAAGTAGCAGAGAACTTTTTGAAGAACAAAATTTGACAGAACTAAGCCCTTTTAATTATTATTTTGATATTAAAACTATTTAGGAAAAAAAGTATATTAGCTAACCTGTAGAACATCATCTGGTATCCTTGTTATTTCTGGAGGTGGAGGAGTATTAAGTAACTGATCATAGTGTTTTATTTTGGGAGGAGAAGGGTCTTCAAAATGTTTAAGATACTCATCAGAGCTCACAGCAAAAGGAATACGATCTTCTACAAATTGTTTATCTGTTGCTTCATTCTTGGTCACTGACTCAATCTTTTCCCCCTGCTTTACCTGCTGCAAAAGAGGTATTAAATGCCTTTAGTTAATTTACTTATTGTAGGTAAAGTATTTAATAAATGTTCTTACAAAATTACCATTAGAAAGATCTTCTACAATGACGTAAGAAAACGTAGTATTTGAAAAGAATCCCAAACTGCCTGTGGTAAAAAGTGTGTCAAAACATACATAATTGCTATTTACTACCTTAGCTTCTGTCTTTAGCCATCTTGTTTCAAAATCTGGAAACTGCGGTGTTTGTGTATGAGTGGGAAGAGGCAGTTCATTTGTCTCTGGTGACCTTGATAATGTGCTGTTTGTTCTGGAAGGGGTTTTCACATCAGGAGTACAGAACACAAGTATCATAGGAGAAGCCATCCAGTCAGCTGCTGAAATTAGGGGGTGGGGTAAAAATAAGAACATATACACACACATATAAGACCAGCATTAGCTCCAGTGCCCCAGTTAGTTTCCCAAGTCTATTAGCTTATCATAGATTTTTTTCTACAGATTATGGGAGACAGTGCCAAAAGCCTTGCTAAAATGAAGGTAGACAACATTCACTGCTCTCCCCTCATCCACCCAGCCAGTCATGCCATCAGAGAAGGCTATCAGATTGGTCAAGCATGATTTCCCCTTAGTCAATCCATGTTGACCACTCCCAATAACCTTCTTCCACACGCTCAGAGATGACATTCATTTCAAATAAGGGTAAGTTGCAGTTACAAAATGATGGATCCCTCCCTCCCACAATTCTAGATGGATATGAGTTCTTCTAACGAGCAAAGACTCATACCAAAGTGACAAACTTTCCCACAGAAGCCATGAACATTTCATTTGCTAGACATTAGTACTCATACAACGACTGGGCTTCAATTAACTATATTTAACAAGAAACACCTTTTAAAAGTTTACCATGTCTTTATAATGCATTTACACATGCCTTATGTAAAAAATGCATATGTATATTTATTTCACATATTTTTAACTTACCATTCTCAGCCGTCAGTTGTGGTTTTGACCCAGGTGTAACCATGATTTTCCTGGATATCATTTCTGGTACATTCAGTTCACAGTCATCTTTAACCAACCTGAAAACCAAACCCCTCAATTAGCTCTTAAGTAATATGAAGAAATCACAATTAAAGGAATACAGTCAACCTGATCACTTTTCTAGTATTTTTTCATCAACATGCAAGTCAAAAAAAATCATTTCCTCAAAGATGATTTTTTCATAGATTCATCTCTGATTCTACTGCAGCAATTTGTAGCATGCAAGTGTTCGGTCCATCCACAAATTATCAAATACACTGAGATTTCAATCCAAGGCACAAAAAAAAAACCCAAACAAATGAAACAAAGAAAAAGTGTCCATGGTAGGATCAATTTTCTCTGCCCAAGATGATAAATTCTGAGCTAGGGTTACAGTCTATTTTGCCTGTTGCCTACAAAATTCTGAACAAGAGGAAATCTTTTTGGCTTTTAACCTACTAACATTATTGTGAACACTAAAAGGTGGTTAATTCCATTTTTAAGTTTGAATAAGATTACTTATGTTAATCTCTAGCTGACTTCAGAGTGAAAAACCATTTCATATCTATTCCACAAAACTATAAACTGAAATTTTTAAAATTCTTTTTTCATATCCAAGATATGCTAGTGGAAGAAGGGTGTAGGCAGTTAAGAGACAATGCCAGATAAAAAGAGGAAGCTTACCTAAACTCTACACAAAAGTGTGTCTATAAGAAAATTATTTCAAATGTTTAAAAAGTTATCTTAACTGTAAGAACCAGACATAGAGCTTCTCTACAAAAAGCCTAAGCTTAAAAAACCAATGATATCCATTTGAGGCAGTATATTTTACTCAGATGAACACAGATCAAGTTTTGAGTTAAAAAAAAAGTGGTTGTTTTTTTTTTTTCCCCAAGTCAGTTTTGCCTTCGAAGTATTATAGATACCTGAAACCATTTTTTAGTTTTTACAACTGAGAAGAAAAGTATACCAATTAACACTTTCGTTCAGGCACTTCTCCCCCCCTCTCCTTTTCTTTCCTAATTACTTTTGGTTTCAGTTTTGTAGTAGGTGCACCAAAGTAGTGGGGTTTTTTGCTTATCTGATCCTCAGGGAGGAGATTCTGCCCATTACACAGTGAAAAAATAGCTTTCTTTTATTATTATTTTTTAATTTGCTGGTTTAGAGTTCTGCTCAATTAACACGCTGAGCTTTCTCACTAGGAGGTGACTAAGTGCTTCTTGGAAGTAACAAGCTATTTAATTGTTTCAACCTCTCTTATCAAACCACAAGTGAACTCTTATTGATGCAAAAAAACCCTAAATAAACTAAAAGACAGTTAAACATCATTTTAATTTTAATGACTTAATGTCATGACCTCTCATATATGCCACTAATTCTGAATCCATACACAGCTTTAACTGTAGTCACAATTAGCGTGTGTCCATCTGTTTTGGTCATTAATAATGATGATGTGTTAAAGAGCAATCATGCTACAACTAATTCTAGCCAGAATTTTAATATTATCATTAGAGTATGGAAGACTGCTAGTGTGATTTTTTTTTTTGTATTATATATAAATATTGCTAGTAGACTGTCTAATCATTTCACCAGAAGCCACAGAAATAGAACCTGTATTTGTGGATGCATCCATTTATAAATTACAGCCATAATTAAAACTGAAGATCACATTTCCTATTCAATAAGAACTGTTTTAAAAGTAGTACAAACCCACAAAAAGTTATAGATAGCAAAAGAACTTAAATTGTGCGATAAGGTGAAACTATATTCAAAATATTATTGAAGGAACAATTTTTGAATTAATACTTTCACAATTCAGTAAGTTTTTGTTATTACAATTCACATACTACAAAGCTTTATAGATGTTATAGTATTTACGTAACTATTCAAAAGGAAATATCCCAAACTACTTTAAAAGCAAACGGATACTTTCACTTTCACTTTTCTTCCCAGTAGTCTCAAAATTACACTCAAAATTTAACCATTGCAGTAAAGTGGATCTTTGGGGGACAAAGTCAGAACCATGCCAATTTAAGTGAAGAACTTCACACCTGTGCCTATACTGCAAATATCAGAGATTTTAAAAAATGCTGAATTATTATTTCCCCTACTTATTTTGAATGTGGGTTTTTTTTAACAATTTCTCTAAATACCAAATATTTAGCTGCTGAACAGCGAGTTTCTTTTAAATACTGTTAGCTTTTAAAATTGAACGTGTTGCTAATACTAACATGACCTAACTACCTTACCTTAGAAAAATATATTCTAATTCTAGAAAAATATATTCTAATTTCTAATAAAATATATTCTAAATCTATATTCTAATATATAGAAAAATATATTCTAATTCTAATACTAATAATTCTAATTCTAATACTGCTAAGGTGTTTTACACCACACTGCTGCAAATTCTTTTCTTTAATTTTAATTAGAATAGTGAAAATCTGGAGATGTCTTTTCAATAGAAGACTGGAGAGGAAAAAAAAAAAAAGAGTAACTGCTTGTAAGGTGGGGCTGGATAACCTAAGACATAATACACTGTATCTACAATGAGGGATTTTACTGAATACTTTGTAAGTTTTTTCTGGGTCTATATTCCTAAAGGCTTTGAAACCTTTAAATTGGCTGTGCAAGGTAACAGTTACTGCAAACAACACGTCCTCAAATCCAAATTCAAGGTTAAGAAAAGCAAAAGATCACAGATATACTGTGCATTTTCCCTTTGTAAGTAGACAGTGTACAGAAGATTCTTATCATGGTGCAGTTAAGGGAAGGAGTATATCAGAGAGGTGTTTCTTGACAGCATTTGGCACTGCAAAGGGTACATGAAGAGACATGTAGAGAGTCGAATAAAGACACAGGACTAACCAGCTTGTAGGTAATAACACATGACCTGCTTTAAGAAAAAGAGAAGGGCAATAGCAACAAAAAATTAGTACAGCAAGAAGGAACTACAGAAAATTCAGTAGAGAAACAATCTGAAGTAATTTACTTACTTCTTGCTTGTCTGAGCAGCTTTACGAATAAGCGACATCGTAAAATCTTCATTCATGCACATGGTATGTTCACTAACGCCAAAATGTTCAAGTTTTGGTGTTACACACTCAAAATCATCCATCTTTAGCATACATTTTTGTGTTTTGGGCAAAATACAGGGGCTCTGCGTATTTAGAGGAGTTCGGTTCGAATTTTCTTGACGCGCATTTGTTGCGTGTTGTCCTTTCACTGCACTCCAAGGCCTGGAGAAAGCATATTGTGACAGACCAAAATCAGAAAGCTGGGGGTTACGCAGCGGGTCTTTGGGGACCAGTGGCTTCTCAGTACAAGCAGGAAGATGAGGTACATCATCTGTTTTTTCTTCATCAGGCTTATTCTGGACAGACACCGTTGAATCACTGTTAACTTCCTCTTCTGTTTGAGAAAAGTAATTAAAAAAGTTAGAAAGTCAGAAGTTTCTGTTTTAAGAATTTATAAAATAAATTGGGTCATCCTCCCAATTTATTAATTTAAAAATTAGAATCCTTCTTTCATTTTAAAAGATCGAACCTGAAGCTACAACAGATATCAAGAGCTTGTATCAGGCTAAGCTATATTTATAATATAGATCATACATTTACTGAATTTCACTCTCTTAGTAAATATTATTTCTAGGGTAAATTAAATTGAATGATTTTTACACAAGTGTATTTTTAGTAGAATTCATCTCCCTGCATGTAGCAGGCAGGAAGTGCTAATCTTAAATATATTTATTTGTTTTTATTTCAGTACAAGAGTGGAAAATTATTAAAAATGTACAACAGAAATGACAACGAAAACAAAGTCTGTATAGAACTGAAAATGTTTTTGAGGAAGAGCAAAGGCTGCAAACACTACTAGAATGCTCATTCTTCAGAAAAGCAATATTGAAAAAGGTTATGAAGCAGCAACTAAAAAGTCATGAAAGAGGGTCACTTTTTAGATAACAAGAAGAGCCCACTGCAGAAATAAGCAAATGCGTAATTTGTACATTTCTGTAGTTAGTTAAACTGAAACATCCCAAAACATTTGTGAATTTCTGCATGACTCAAGAAGCAGAGGGTGAAAAAAAGCTACTTAAAATAATATGGCAGAGGCATTACCTTTTTGTATTGGTATTACGTATTCAAATACACTTAAAAATACATCTTACAATAAATTAGCCTTGTAGCTCTGTTTGGAATCTTCTTTAAAGGCAGGGAGAGAACAGGAAGGAAGGCACTATAAAATTAGAGCCTTCTGCCACATTTTTGCAAAACAGTTGTAGGAGCTTAATTCGCAGGCGAATATGGTCCAAAACCACAATTCACAGCTTTTTTTGTGTGTGTAATGACTGGATAGTGCTCAGGGGAAGGTTAAGGCGTGCCCTGCCAAAGGCTTCTTGAAGATTGGCTGGGCCCTCGATACCGAAAAGGGTATGGTATAGCACTGACCATTATAGTATCTTAAACTCAATTGGCAGTTCTCCATTTTCCACACAGGTGCATGTGCACTTTCGGACTGGATTAAGGATCTCCCCCCTGCCCCCAATCCATCAAGCTACTGCTGCTTCATAAATTCCCACGCGTCACCTAATTCCCATACAAGCTTCTCTTGTCCCATTCTCCTGCACAGCACATTATTTTAATATTTTCTCTGTGATGATTTAAGTTAATGGAATCATCAAATATGAGTACAAACCAGTTTAGACGCATCTCCAATCTATTCCCATGCATGAGAAGCCAAAAGCAGCATAATTCTCTCCGTTATCAAAACATGTTTGGTAACAGGTTTTCTGAGTATAACTATTACTGGAGAAAAAAAACACCCATACACTAACTTAAAAGCATGCCAGGAGAACTGAATCTAGTTGAAGTTTTTGTATTTTGGTTTAATCTTATGGCACCAGTGACAACAGTGACAACAGAATCTTTTACCCTCTGGATACTATTATAAAGCAATCAACATAAAATGTACTTGATCTCTTAATTAATAGAAATATACACATAGCTAAAGAGCAACATTAGAGAATTACATTTGCCTTCACATACTGTATTGCCAAGAAATATTACCTGTAGAGTCTTTGACATGTGGTTTGTAGCCGTATTTCTGGAACAGCTCTCTTATTTTTCCAAGATCTGCTGCATTTCTTTGCATCAGTATTTCACTTGCCTTCATAAAGTCATTAATGGCTTGTTTTTCAGAGCAAATCTTACCAAGACTGCCATTAACATCTTCCTTTGGGAGCACACGCAAGGAGGGAAAAGTAGAAATATTGGTTTTCCAATCACCACATGGCAGTTGTTTACACATGAAGTGTTTTGGGAATAAGTATTGAGCTTCCATTCAGACAAGGATAAGCAGCGTATTTAGGTCTTATCTATACCTGAAAACTAGGTTATAAAATATCAGGAATATATAGGGCATGTGTACAAAAACTTACAAAAGTTAAACTAAGATAACAGTTCCCAGTATGATAACTACTTACTGGTAACCTCTCAAACAAAAGTATATGCTTTTACTCCACAAAAATATAACAGTGATTAGTTTGGACTTTTACTCCCCTATGTACAAAGAACTTGTGCAGAGAAGGTGGTAAACCAAGTTTATATCCTAGCTTACCTCTGAATTATTTCTACACTTGCTCATTTCTAGAGTACATTTTTCCTACTTCTATGAAAGAAATGAACATTATTCAAAAGTTTAATGGCTTAAGGTACTGAAACTTATGTGAAGATTTTCTTTATTCTAAGTGCTAGTCATTGAACACAGGCAAGCATACCTCTTCTCTAGGGAGCTGCTGCTCCTGAACCCATTTCCCCTATACCTAAGCCTTGGTGCAGCTACAACTTCCCTGTTACCTTTGTCTCCTGCTGATCCAAGTGACAATAATGACTGCAAACTAATAAACAGTGCTGAATATACTGTAAGTCACCCAAAAGTTTTTGGGCACTACCCTGACATCCACAGCCATTATGAGGACTATGAATAAAAGTAAGGGTCAGAACTGCTGACTAACATAGTTGAACCGTGGCTTAACGATCAATACAGAACTGTAAGTTTATGGAACACCCCACCCCCCCAGTTTTTCAAGAAGGAAGTGAGTTAAGATGTTTACCTTCAGAGTTCTGATTTCACAGTGGAGGTCATGCAAGACTCTTATTGGAGATTCATCTTCATAATCTTTGATATGCATGTTCACACAAGAGAGTTCGGAAAGAAAACAGGGGTATCAGTATTTTAGCATGCAAGTACATCAGAACATAGTCTCCTATATTAGAGATGTTGGAGTCATATGTTAGCGAAAGAGTCAGGACAGAGAAAACCAAAGAGAAACTAGTTCATGTTGGGTACCTTGTACAGCACGAGACTGCAATTTGTTAAACTACACAGAGAAACTGCACAGGCTTCCATTTTACTGTTGCAGCTAATACTGTAAAAATTAATGTATAGCAGATACTGGTACAATAGGTAGGACCCTGGGCTGTCAAGGATTATTTATGCTAAATTCTTATCCTTAAAGAGCTTGAACTTGAAATAATAATAAAAATTTTAAAAAGCGATAGAGACACCACTGAAAAACAGTGTTCAACAAAAAGCTGAATTCTTCCACCTTATTTGCACACGGGCAGATGTTAGTGTTGTTCACTTATACATGCAGCAGCCATTACTTCTTCCACTAGAAATCCAGGTTAATGCAAATAGTGTAAAAGAGGACACCTGCTATGTGACAAGCCACAGCACAGAGATAACTCTAATTAGAAGCTTGAGCTATCTGCACAGAGAGAGAAAACCCCTGCAAATGTCTTTTTACTCTTCACAGATTGAGACAGGAAAGGAAGAATGTGATTTCCCATACAGTCCATTTTTCCCCATGACAAAAGCTCACCTACACACCCACAAAGGAGGTCAGAGAAACAATGATATGAGAAGACCAAATAATACCCTGCTGAGCAACTCTCAGGCCCATCCCCGGAGCCACCCGTCCACCAAAGGCCCATCTCCACATGCCCGGAAGAGCACAGGAGCACAATGGCAAGCGGGAATGCAAATCAAGGACTCCCCAGGAACGATACCCCCCTGGGCTATCTCAGCAGAGCCACCAGCCCCAGCGTTCAGATGTGACATCTATCACAGAATCACAGAGTTGTCTAGGTTGGAAGGGACCTTCAAGATCATCAAGTCCAACCATCAACTTAACACTGCCAACACCACCACTAAACCATGTCCCTAAGCATCACATCTACCTGTCTCTTAAATACCTCCAGGGATGGTGATTCCACCACTTCCCTGG